CTGATTCTGCCGCTTTTAGAAGTCAATTTGAGTTTGAGCTGTTTTTTTCCCCCATTTTGTTTTCTGCTGTTTTGTGGATGAGTTTTAACACTCGTGTTATGATTGTCTGTCCCGGAGCGAGAGACCCGCAATAAAATCACGGCCATTTGGCAGTTGTAAATTTGCATACAAGGAGCGGAGCGGAGGCGAGCCGAGGGTCCCATATGTTGAGGTGTCAGCTGCTATTTGTGTAATTGAACGGTTAGGTTAACCCCTTCTCGGCAAACGCTTCTATTAGTTAGCTCCTCATCCAGCCTGCCCAAAAGCAATCCATCAGAAATGAAAACGCAAAATCTCATTAATTCGACAGGGGACCCCCTCCCTTTTGGAATCGTAAATATTTCCACAAGGACAACGGGGCGACAAAGAGATGCCGTCGATAAGGTCTTCCGGGGGAACTGATGCAACTGTCAAATTGTCAGGGACTTGGAATTTTGAAAACCAGATATTCTGATTCTGATTCGGGCTCCGATTTCGATTTTGATTTCGATTTCGAGGGTGTCTGCGGTTTTCTAGCGCAAGCTTCACTATTTACAAACTGAAAGATACGGCTGATAAGATAAATAATTGGAATATGAAGCTGGTGGCCCCGTGGAATTGGACACACACCAAAAGTGTGACAGGGGTGGCTGCTCTCATTCTGTTTAATCACAGCAAATAATTAAATGTCCATTTCACAGGCGACGTCAATGTCAAAGCCCAAACAACACCCACCCCAACCCCAGCCTTCCCCCTTCTCGCCTCCTCCCTCTCCCTCTCCCCCTCTCCCCCTTCCCGCCCCTCTTCACCTCACGGCCATGGAAACGTGTGTTCCTGTGTCCTCGGAGTGCCGAATCCGGGCTAGAAATCTGAAACCGACCCTCGACCTCGATGGCCATGCGACACGTGTGCGTGTGCGACAAGCGGCATTTGTATTAAGACTTCATTTAAGTGCTTATCACCCAAAACAAATCAACGCAACCCGGCCCCCTACGCATTGCCGATACGCCCCCCCCCCCATGACTCCGTTGTGATGTGACATTTTGTATAAGTAACGCTCCCCTAATGAAGTTATTAGAGCCGCGCACAGAGCCGTGCTATATGCTGTATACCTGACCAGACATGGGCAGATAATGCCTGGAGTGGAGTGGTGCAAACTGCGACACCGGGTTGCGGTTGCGGGTAGAAATAGGTGGAATAGGGCCCACGGTAGGGTATTAGCACAGAGCAGCATCACTTAAGTGAACTATGAAACAATATAACAATATAAACAAAGTTGCAAAAAGATTTTTTTATTTTTTTAAGCTAATTTAATTTAAACACCTCGTAAGTAAACTTTAATTTGTCGCTTTCTTTTGCGGTAAAAAAGTTTGGACGTATAATCGACTTAAATGGAAATACCTATTTCGATTTGTGATCTAATTGGAAAACTAGAGTTTGCATACAGGTAGCACCCACCAGTCGTGACGACCGAAACGCGTAGCCCCCGAAAATGATTTCCCCATCCGATCACAAGTGCGACTCCAGCAAATGGATATGATTTGTGACAAATCAATCGGGGTACTAATGTCACAATTTTGGCGATTGCCCCGGGTTAGGTTATTGTCACGCGGCGCACCACTCCCGGCGTCAATTATTAATTTTGTTGTTTGCCTGCTGTCCCTTTTACTTATTTATAATATTTATCAGCACAAATTAAAAACAAATTAGTCGACAGTGGGTAAATATTAATAACGTGTAATAAAAGTCACGGAGACAGGAGCCAATCTGTCGATATGCGGCGATAAGCGGCGTAGTCAAAACGAACGTGATTTGTTTAATCGAATGTGAAATGATTAAAACTCAATATGCATTTTGTTTATTTTTCCTGCTCCTGCTCACCCGATTTGCTTATTTTTTTCCCCTATTTTACCCCGTGCTCATTGTAATGACATTTTTATTGTTTTAAATGCGCTTTTAATAATAATTGATTTGAGATTGCAACAATTTGATAAACCAAGTAAATGAAGCGAAGATTCAAAACAAATTATGTCATTATTAAGAGAAAAAGATAGGTGGCTTAGCTCAATGGTAAATCCATTTTAAATGTAATTTCCTAGAATTAAGTGCTATTTTATCGAGAATATTATTTAAATAATATTAAATATATTCGTATACATAAAAACTTAAACCGAAACAAAAAAAAGGAAAAGCGTTTTAGTATTGTTCAAACCAAAAGCTTATAATTGAACTTAAAATTTTCTTATTTTTGTTCTATACTGCCATCTCGTCCTAAAGTTTGTTACTGAAATTAACTTAAAAAAGTTTAGCTTTGAAACGTCTAATCTCTTTTTAAGCCATTTTGAAAGATTAATGCCCACTACAATTTAATAATAATTTAATGAGTTAATATGGGAAAAATTCTGAGAAAAGCTAATGGAAACGATAGTGCTCCCTAGTAATCAAATCACAACAAAGTGCCACCAAAAATGTACTTTCCAACAACTACTAACTCAACCAAGATATTAAGTACGACAAAGGGGGATTGAGTGCCCCTATTAGCAGCGAGAAGTGTGGAGCATGGGAATAGAGCTGGGAAAACTTAATAGAAAATCAAGCGCAAGAAAATGGCGTCCGATAAGGCGATAGGGAAAATGGGAAAAGCGAGAAGAAAGTCAGCCAACCAACGCCCCGCAGCAAATTAAATGAAAATTTGTTTGTGTGTGGAAAAATCAAGTGAAAATTAATTGAATTGAGTTGAGTGCGGCTACGCCGAAATGGTTTGGGTTTAGGTCCGGTATTTGGGTTTGGTGGGGGATTATTATATAGATCTCCATGTGGCGATAACCCTCCAAAAAAGAAGAAGCTGGAAATGGAATTTTATCTTCTCTTTCTTTTTTCTTGTTTTTTTGCCAATCAGAAAGCAATGATGAAGGAGAGTCCAGAAAACGCAGCGGGTGGGGAAGGCGCTTTGGGTGGAAAACCAGGGGGTTTTGGGTGGCCACTCGCCCTCTCTCTCTTTCTCTCTCTCCCTGTGTTTCTCTCCATCCCTTTTCTACAGCCATAATTCATTTTCCAAAGACGGCAGCTGCGCATTAAAACCGCCTCAGAAAAGTGGGTGTATTTTTAGGAGGGACTTTCGTCCCCTTTCCACAGCTTATTTAAGATATTATTACATTATGATCGCATAAAACAATCAATAAAATGTCAGTTTTTGCTCTGCTCTCGTTAAAGCAGCGCTGCCATCTTCCTCTTCCTTCGGGAACCCCCTTTCTCCCCATTTTCCATCTCCTCGTCTGCCCCTTTGTATTTTTCTGTTCCTTCTAGTTAGCCGTCTTCTTCTTACTGGGCTTTAAATTGGACATAATCATATTAATATGAAATTTCCCCCTATTTTTCGCTAGCCACGCCTGTCTGCCAGCGATATGGTTGTCTCGCTCGCTACTCTGAGTGCGTTGTCTGCCTATTGACCTCTCTTTTTCACTCCAAAGATGGACTACGAACCCACACACACACACACTGATTCACTTTAAATCAATTTTTTTTAGTATTTTTCATTTCATTTTCCCTGTTGCGCATTGCTCTTACTCTCTTTGTCTCTTTTCCTCTTTTTTCGCTCTCTGGAACGATTTAGTGGGCCAGAAAAATACCATTATTGCATTTGCCAGTTGTGGGCGAGCGAGGGGCTAAATGTGTCTGCGGGGGGTGAGGAGCAAAGCGGAGGTGGGTTGAACGGGCGGTGAATTTCTGGGGACGGCGCCTTGGCATGTCTGTTAAGTGAAACCATTTTTCTTTTTATTGCCCCCGACTGCGCTGTCGACGTTAGCTTCGCTGATTCTTCTTTGTGGCAGTTTTTGGTTTTTTCGCTTCCTCTTTTTGTTATTTCTCGCTTTGGTGCACATAAATTGTTGAAAATAAGTCTGCCGTTTTTGGCGCTACTTTTGTTGCTTTGGCTGCCTTTGTTGCTGCTGGAGCAGGTGTCGCCATCTCACTTTTCAGCACAGACTCAAACCACAAGCAGCCAACCAACAGCGGTGACACTTTTCTGACCCCCTCCCCACGCCAAAAATGCATGTGTATGCTCATTTTTATTAAACACAAACATGAAGAAGACAAGGCGAACTCCATATTTTCATTTAATCGCGCCTGTCGCGCTATCCCACTCGCACCGACTTGCCACGTTTGTCTCCTCTAAACTCCACAACTCGCTCGGCGTAATTTTAATTCGAATCAATTTGTTTGTCGCCGCCGCTGCATAGAGTTCAGCCCTTTGCCCAGTGGGTCGCCGATTCGCTCCACTGTGCAGGATAATGCTTTTTTTATAGTGTGTGCGTGTGTGCCTGCCCTGTGCAACGTTAAACATTCAGTTAACCAAACGTTCCTACTGATCAAAACAAAGTACTAAAGTGAAAACAGTGCGAACACTAAACTCAAGGATCAAGGGAAGTAACTGAAGGAATAGAAGTAACAGTAGTCTTAGACTGGTTTGCAGGTTAACCGAACCACATAAATTAGCCACATTGAAATGTAGAAAAAGGTTTAAAAAATATTTGGAAGGGGATTATCTAACAATAAGTCGAGGGAATCAAAACGAAACAAATTATTCTCGAAGAAATCATTCATTAAAAGTGAACGAAAGAAACAAATACCTAAAAAAAAATTATATAATACGCTAACACTTAAAGACGGATTTAGATTATTATTGAGAAAGGTAAAATGATGAAAAAACTTTCTTTTTAGTCAAAGGGATTAAGCTAGAGATTTCAAGTCACTGAAACCCAAGGAAAAACTAAGATTACTTTATCTAAATATAAACAGTGGGCTATTGTGATGCCCACACTGAGCTATGGCCAAAACACTTTAATAAAATGAGGAATCAATAAAGCAAATTAAAAGTAAACGCTTAGGGAGTTCACAATATGCTAGTTCAAGCTCGGAATGAAAGTAAAACGATAGTTAGTTGAATGCGCATAAGCATAATCCTAACAAAAGCTAAGCTTATAATGGATCACCTGATCCAACAGCTGCAATTAGCAGCTGCTGCACATGCGCAGATACCCAGTCCTAGAGCAATGACCGCTCATCCGCATCCGCATCCGCATCTGCAGCAAAATCCGTATCCGCATGCGTCATCTGCACTGCAGCTATATGCAGCAGCAGCCGCCGCCAACCTGCAAATGGCAGGATGGTCGTCCATGGCCAGCGTTCCCATCGTAACGGGGAGCCCGACGGACTCGCCAGGATCCGAAACCAGTTCTCCCACCATCTACATCCTCCGCCAGCTGGCGCTTGTGCAGCGGGTGAGTGCAGCCGCCGCAGCAGCCTCGATTCAGCAGCAAAGAGACCGAAAACGGGATCGGGGAAAAGATCAGGATGGACAAACCATACAATCCGAGTCAGTGGAGATCCATAAAAATGCAGGAAATCAATCGGGCGAGCAGGAAAGCCCAGGCCGGCCTCCGCATGACATCCGCGAGGGTAAGTAAATTCGAGAAATCGATTGTGCTCAGCAGTTTTAGCCGCAGCCAATTAAAATAATTGTACAACAAAATGTTTAAAATGGAAAGGTGTAATAGGATTAAATAAGAAAATTAAACTTAAAATAATTGTTTGTGTTGATTGTTTAACAACAACAAATGAAATACATTTCATGTATTTGATATCAGTGCCGCCTGTCCCTTTTACGATAACTATAATAGTTCATACGTTTAAAAGTATTGGAAAAAATCAATTCCTCTTCATGTCATTTCCATCAAATTATGGAGAATACTATAGGACTATTTTATCGCTCTTGAAATACGAATCGAAAAATCGACACAGAAAAGTGAAAAGTTGATTTATTTCATACAAACACGAATATTGGAATATAGGGTTTTCAAACAACTCTTTAATAACTAATAAAATTTCATTAACATCAGAAGACTGAGTCATATAGCTGCCATAGAAAATAAATCCCAAATCATCTAGATATGATGAAGCTAAACAAAATGTTGCTAGACGTAATAAAATAATGGATATAGATAAGTTGTTTTTAAAAACAAATGTCTGCTATATTATATTATTATTATTAGGTGGCACTACAACCCGATTCGGGTTTTGGCCGACCTCAGCGTCTCCCTCCAGGCGCCTCTGCTCCTCGCGCGCCTTCTCCAATCGGAAATACCCAGTGCAGTCAGGTTCTCCTCCACTTGGTCCTTCCATCGGAGCTTTGGTCGTCCCCTTCGTCGTCGCCCGTATTATATGCTATATTATACAGCTGCCATTAAAAATAGAAAATATAACTAAATAAGTAGTAAGCATTACACCTTATTCAAGGGCGTCGCCAGCCGATGGCGCAGGGGGGTGGCAAGTTAACTTTACCTACTACAATTCATACCTTTCTCGTTCGTTAGAAAAGTACGGTTATATTGTTCAAATTGTACAAAGGATCCCTAATTTTTTTCAAAATGAAATGTAGCCTTAAAAACTTGTAAATGAGTTATAACATTTATTAGAAAAATAAAAAAAAAGGAGTTTGAAATCTCTAGAGGGGGGGTAGCTGCCCCTCCCTGCCCCCCTTGGCGACGCCCTTGACCTTGTTGACGTAGTAAGGACCATCGATTGAAAAAATCGTGCGACTATTAATTTGAGTTGTTGAATAATTAAGTTCTAACTGCAAGGATTTACAGCTTGGTCAAGTTTCTTTTTCTGTTTCCTGCCTCCTAAATAATGTTTTAAGTCATAAAAACTTGAAAGTGGAACTCCTCTTACAAAAGAGTTGTACTAAATAGTGCACCTGCAGCTTAATATAAGGTTGCAAGTCAAACGACTTAATGCAAGTCTTTGATGCCGAAAACGTTAATATGATGGAGATAACCAATTTGAAAACACTATTTGCCCGGAAAAAAGGCATCCTACAGCTGTTGTTTTCTCAACTAATCGAGAATTTGCCTAAAATACACGAAATTGCTGGACAAATTTAATTACGTGCATAATCAACAAGCCGCAATATCAACAATTACAAGGCGGCAAACACTCTCCCATACAGTCACATTAAAAGCTGCTGCAGGCAAAATAATATTGTTGATTTTGTTGTTGCGCCGCAATTGTTGATTAAAAATTGATCAAAAAAATAAAAACATGCGAACTATGCATGCGAGTATGTAAATGGGAGAGTTTGTGTGTGCGGGAGCTGGGAATTGATTAAAAGGAGCAACACGATTGAAACTTTATTGGTAAATTGAATAAAGTGCGCGCGGGGTCAGGCCGGAGAATTTGTTTTTCCATTCCCGCAAGCGAGTTAATGAGTTAACAAATGAGTGCCAGGATAAAAGCGTTAAATGGCTTGGCTCGTAAATAATTGTATTTTTAGTTGGTGACCAGTGAGTATCTACAAATTAGTTCTTTCAAAAAAATTATATAAAAATGCTGCGGCACTAATTTTAATTGAATTTCGATGAAAAACCCCACCCAAGCCCACTGATACCGCCTCCCTACTAAAAATCCCAGAGTTCAATGAGCAACTGTGTTAGTAAGTAAATTTGACTTAAAAAGCACCTGGAATCGGAAAATGGGAAATGATGCGCAGTGACAGGTAGGGTCTTCCTATCCGTTTTTTTTTTTTTTTTGTTTTGCTGGGTCACGCCCAATCCGGAAACGCCTGCATTTTCCTCTGGTCTTTTGGCATTTAAACCGCGCATCCAATTCCGAACGAGAAAACCTACGAATTGGCTTCATTGCCGGCCTCTACCTCCTACATTCCCTCCTTACCCTCCTGCTCCCTTTTCTTGACGACGGGAAATTAGCTACCATTAGTCATTTTTATTGTTTTCGGTCGCGGCCCCGAAACCAGAGAAAAGAGAGCTGGTTCAACTCGGGAAAGCGGAGAAAACTGTACGGAGAGCGACAAGAAAGTCGACGGGGATAGACTTGTGGAAATTGGGCAGCCGAACAATTTCTGGCAGCAATTTTTCTTAACATTTTCGTGAACCCAAGACCGAGTAAAAAAAATAAAGAAAAAGGTCGAACGAGAAGCAAATGTCTTAATTATTTTTGGTAGTTCCCCGCCTTTTCTGTCCCACCGCGTGCACAAACATACAATTTTCGTTTACGACATTTTAATTAAGTTTTCCCCATTTTCCTCTGCTTGTGGAAATTGGGCAAATTAATAAGAACGCCATCGGCACGCCCCGTCAGGTTTTTTTTAGAAAACCTTTTCAGTTCGATCATCAGCGATGAATGAATTGAGTTTTGGCCCCGAACCCCAGGTAATTCCAGGTGATCTCAGGTGATCTGCTCCAGCCGATGGCCCCTCATTAGAGAGCGCTGACCACGAGCGCGTCTGGTAATTGCCATCATTTTGAGGGGGCTCGGGGTCGAAACAGAACTACTGGGAGAACCACTAGACCCGTGGATTAATTGTAATTGTGTCGAGAGGAAAATAGAGATGAACACAGGCACAGAGGTGCACGGCAAAAAACTAAGGCTTCTCGAGTAAAGCATCCAAAAGCCGCATATGCGATGCCAGTCGAGAATAACAACTTAACATATTTGGTTTAACCCCTTAATAACCCCGTAAACATCAATATCCCATAGTAACTGAGATCATTTGAATTTAATGACTACATTATCCTAAGAGAAACTCCATTAAGCTTTTTATCTATGTATACATTATATATGAGTAACACTTTTTTTCTCGAAGTATTGCGGTTGACTTGATTTTTTGGCTCAGGCTGGAACACCGTTTGAAATTTTTAAGTTGTGCTTTAAATGTTTTGATATCTAAGTATTTAGATGATGATGAATTCGAGGCTGCCAGGTCTCGCTAACCATTTATGAAAATGTGACAGAAACAACTAGGAACTTTCCCGATGGAACTGCCTAACAACTATTTTTCTCAGTGCGGATGAGGGGCTCTTCATCAACGAATGGATGAGTGCTGATCCGGAGATTTTTCTCGCCCAAAAGTGAAAGATTAAGTGAGTGGAGGGGCCGAAAACAAGACTGGAAGCCCGAAGAGCCGAAAAACGAACAACGAACAACGAACAACGAGGCCCATCAACATCAGCGGCTAATGGGACTCTTGTTCGCATCAGCATCGGAACGAGGTGACTGGAAGGGCTTGGTATCGGGTATGCATGGGTTAAGGTCCAATTTCCACCGAGTTTTCCTCGGCTAAATAGTAAAACGCTCAGTGGGCTCGTTGCACTAATTGCTCCGATCGTCGATACCCCTGATGAGCTTTTGACGAGCTCTCGTTTCTGGACCGGGAAATACATAGTAACTATTTACGTGGGCTCCCGTTTAGGCGGTTGCCAAAAACGAGGCCACTCCGTGCTACGCCCCAATGAGCGCCTCCACGTCGTCCTTGCAGTTGCATAATCATTTGCATAATTTATGAGGGTGACAGCCCTGGCTAGCAGTTATTCACCATGGTGGTAGCCGGTGAAATGGAAAGCCGCACCTCTTTTTAGGCCGCCTGCGAATGCATTTTGGCAGCTTGCTTAGTTTTCCCCTTTTTGTGTAGGGGCCATGTTCTTCTTCTTTTGGCTTAGCTCTTCTTTTGGTCGACCCCCTCGACCGGCTTGAAAAAATCAAAAGGCGTTTTGTTCTCTAAACCTAAATTGAAAACACTTCAGGCCGGTCCTTCCCCAAAAAACTGTTCCCCAACCCCGAGCCAATGGATAAACATTTGAAGGGGCGGATTTGGCTTTGTGCCTCGCTTCCTGCTTGGCCCACTCCGCCCCTAATTTTCGCTGTTCCACCGTTTAGCGCAAAGATGGCGGAGCTAGATAAAAATATAGGTTTGCCCAAATAAAAGCTAAGGTACTGGAAAAGGTAAAAAATAAGATGTGTAGAGGGGGCGTTTATTTTTGTAGCTGTTTTTGTTTCGCGCAGTTGAATTGTTTCCCGTTTTTCTCTTCTTTTATCTGTTGGCCACTTACAGTTTTGAGGTGTAATTTTTCTTAAATACCATTATAAGTGTCACGCCTCCTCCCGCCCACAAAATGTACAGCTCGTTCTGCGATTAGCAAATTAGGGTTAGACCCACGATATTGGTAAATTTATTGGGGTAGCAAAGGGACTTCGCCCGGATTATTGCCTAATATCTGCTCGAGAGAGTTAGGGGGACAGCGTAAAGCCAAACAGAATGGTCAATCAATCAGCCAAGCGTCTGTCTAATTTTTCCTAATTCATTTGCCTGCTTTGTTGGCAATCTGTGTCGACAAGTATCGTGAAATCAAGGCAATTACACGACCTAAACCCAAGATATAGGGGAGATACTAGGCGGGAAAGACAACGCTAAGCGGAAAAACCGCAAGCACGTAGAATCGAGCGTTTTACCGCTAAAGCTAAGATCGGCCTACCACCCACTTTGCAGCAGCCAAAAATAACCACCCCAAGTCAAAACCAGCACACGTCCCGATTTGTATGCTATCTCCATGGACTTGAGCAAAACAAACGACCTTCCCTCGCGACGACATAAAAATTATGTAAAA